AAAAAAAATAGGATGATTGTACAGTCAAATGGGACCCTGGGCCCGGCTCCGAGCACGTGCTGCTCCCCACGAATAGATCAGAGCTTTTGTCCCTAAAAAAAAAAAAAAAAAAAAAACGAAAAAAAAACGAAAAGGAGGTATGGTTGAGACCGTAGGGTGTAGCAAGTGCTCGTAATCTAGACTGGCTGGTGCTGCCAGGATAGCTCGGGTTGAAGTGTGAGGTCCCCGGCCTCAAGTGGATTTGCAATATATGAAGAGAATTCATTATAAAAAACAAAGAAGAAGAAGAAAAAGGTCATTGTAGTTAGATACATGTGCAACGCAAAAAAAAAAAAAATAAAAAAAAAAAATAAAAAAAAAATGCAGGTCCGATCGTTAGTGCGAGCACGCCCCTTACAGAGTTTTGTAGGTGGAGCATGCGGTAATCAACAGAGTGCGTAGTCACATCATCAGCAGGAAGTTTTTTTTTCTGGATTGGGGGCATGTTCACTCTCTAGGACTTTTTCCACGGATTTGTGAACGCAATTGCGCTTAGATTCATGGAGGTTCGGCCGTAATTAGGGTCAGATACATTTAAGATAGTGAGAGTGTGAGGCACGTTTAGAACAGTGCACATCTGACTGCACCCTCGCGAGTTCACATTCCTTCTGCCACACAAGAGCGAATCGGATATGGACTTCCCCCGAATAGAACGCCGAATTCCTCCCAATTCCCGAATACAAGCCCCCCTCTCTTTTTTTTTCTTTTTTTTTTTTAGCCCCTCTCTCTACGAATAGAACGAGAGAATAGTCGCTGCTTTTTCCGAATAGATCCCCGTCCTTCCCCGAATAGAACGCCGAATTCCTCCCGATTCCCGAATACAAGCCCCCCTCTCTACGAATAGAACGAGAGAAGAGTCGCTGTTTTTCCCGAATAGAACCCCGTCTTTCCCTGAATAGAACGCCGAATTCCTCCCGATTTCCGAATACAAGCCCCCCTCTCTACGAATAGAACGAGAGAATAGTGTTTTTTTTTTTTTTTTTTTTTTTTTTNTTTTTTTTTTTTTTTTTTTTTTTTTTTTTTTTTTTTTTGCCAGATGATCGGAGTAGATACTACACTTGATCTTAGCCAAAAGGCCGAGAAAGGTATTAGTCGCTTTTTTCCCGAATAGAACACTGTCTTCCTCCGAATAGAACGCCCGGTTATGATCGCTGCACCTAGACTGAAGCTTGCCTCAATTCATTCAAAAAAAAAAGACCAGGGTATTATAAAACACAGGGCCATCATAGCTGTATTTGGGACACCTTTCAGTCTATATTATAATGCACCTACAACCACCGTGCGGGTGAAGAGAGCAGCCGGGATGAAGGGAGACATGGCTAGGGCGCAGTCACCATTTCAGTGCAAAATCCACTTCTGGCATCCCTCGAATACGACACATCCCCACCTGACCCTAAATCTAGGTTGTATACATTCACGATTTCCCTCACTAAGGCTCAATTTGGCACAACATTCGCGAAATCGTGACTGAAGAGCATTTTCAAACTGAAACCGTGAACACGAAGAGCCCCCTAGTTTTCCCTATATTAATTAACCAACAGGAAGAGCCCGACAAATTGAAACGAAGACTGAAAAAAATAAAAAAATAAATAGGCGGATAGTGAGTGGAAGACAAACTAAGTGCAGTAATGATCTACCATACTACACAACCAATCAATCAATCAATCAATCAACCAATCAACCAATCAACCAATCAATCAATCAATCAAAAGAGGGAGTACCCTTCCGACAGATCCGTCGAGGCAAACACCTTCCGGCTTCCGTTCCTTGTTTTAATGTCTAAATTAAAACTTGCGGCTGTCGCATAGTTTCCCTATGTTTTTCTTTGTTTTTTTTTTTTTTGTTTTTCTTTTTTAATCGGGCCCAGTGCCCAAGGCCTTCAATCTGTCAACGTATCTGGACGGCGACGAGTCCCCTGCTCATCTCTGAGGGCAGAGTTCACACCCGACAGTCAGCTTATTTCAAAATTATACCAAGGATGAGGTCCTACTATCAAAGAGGATTGGATTTAACGCCTGAATCTGGACGTGTTTGTCAGCGAGGTGCAGGAAGTCCCGATTGATCTGCTTTTCTGCATCTCTGGTTAAGACCCATCCAGATTCGTGCGCTTTTTCCAACCCACTTTGATTATAGGAACTTCCACTAGGTGCAAGAGGCAAACTTCAACGGGATTCTTAAAAAAAAAAAAAAAAAAAAAAAAATCTTCAACGGGCTTACAGTTCAGACCAAGTTCGAATCCAGATGGAAACAGAGGAACGAAATTCTTGAATTGCCTACAGTCTTCCCCCGAATACAACGTACGGTCATTATAACTGAATTTGGCGTATCTTTCGGTCTAAATTCAGCTATAATGACCGTACGTTGTATTCGGGGGAAGACTGTAGGGGTCTCGCCGCACGGCACACGAAACGAAAACGAAACGAGAGCATCTGCCCCCGAAAGTTGGCAAAATACACTCGTTACTATTTATAGCAAACCGATGAACCTGGCCATTTTCTGTAGGAACATGCACTCATTTCGTTTTTCGTTTCGTGTCCCGTGCGGCGACGCCCTACCTTCTTCTCCCGAATACAACGTACGGTCATTATAGCTGTATTTAGACTGAAATATACCCCAAATTCAGCTATAATGACCGTACGTTCTACTCGGGGGAAGAGTGTAGGGCCGGTCAAATTTTTCACGATGATATCTCAAGGCTGTCGTCCTTCTTTTTTTATTTATTTATTTTTAAAATAAAACAGAGCTCCGATCTATTTGTGGGGCCCAGATATCAATGCCGAAAGCCTGTCGTCCTTCTTTTTTTTATTATTTTTTTTTAAAATAAAACAGAGCTCCGATCTATTTGTGGGGCCCAGATATCAATGCCGAGCCTCACTAACCCCTGCGCGCCACGTTTTGCCGAGCC